ATCAATTTTGACAAATTCATACACATGTAACCCTTATTAAGATGCAGAACATTTCCATCAATACAGAATGTTTACTCCTCTCCTTTGCATAGGAAGCTCTGATGGCCTAGTGGCAAGAAGCTGCACTGCCATCCTAAAGGCATGTAGTTCGAATCCACCAGCTGCTCCCATTTCCAGAAACAAGCTCAATCTTTTTTCTATTATCATAAGTTAGTTCTGTCTATTTCACATAAATGGACTGAAGCATATGTTTCTTGTGCCTCTCTTCCTTCACCCACGAATAATTTCAAGATTCAATCTCTGGTATCTTTGAGATTTATCCATGTTCTTCTATGTAGCTATAGTTTTTAGTCCTGTGCTGGACACATTCCGTAAACAGACATTTTGATTATCCATCTTCATATTGATAAGTACGTAGGTTGTTTCTATTATTTTGCTATAATGAACAAAATTGACATCGACATTCTTGCAGAAAGTGGTCCCTGGGCATGTCTGCATTTCTCTTAGACACAAACCTGTGAGTGGAATTCCTGGAACTATACATTTTCCTCTTTTTAAAAGAAACTGCCAAATAGTTTTCTAAAGTAATTGTATCATTATATAAAATGATGGTCATGTAAGGCCATCAACATGTAAACAGTTTGCCTTACCTCCTCCCCAACATTTGGAGTATAAATCTTGTTCATTGTAGCTATTCTAGTGGCTGTGTTCCATACTGCTGCTGAGTAATGTTTTCAGAGGCAGTTAACCACATGGGAGGAGACGGCCCATCCTTCTCCTGCAGAGCAGCTGGTGGCCTCTAACTGTGTGCCTTTAGGATTGCAGTGCAGCTTCTTGCCACTAGACCACCAGAGCTCTAGATACTCTACTACTAACCAAAAGGTCAGTTATTTCAACCCACCAGCTGCTACAAAGAAAGATGGTGAGGCAATCTGCCTCTGGGAAGGTCCAGAGTTTTGGAAATCCCAGGGGCACTTCTACTCTATCCGACAGAGTGCCTATAAACTGGAATCAACTCAGTGGTAATGGGTTTGGTTTTGTGCTTAGTGGGTGTGTAAATGGTTTTAACTGGCATTTTCCTGGTAATTTGTTACACTGAGTATCTTTTCTAAGATTACTAGCCATTTGTATATCTTATGAAGGATTTGTTCAAAGAGTTTTGCCAATTTAAAATAAAATTGAATTGTCTACTTATTATTGAGGAACAGGGATAATATGTCCTTTATATATTCCAGACGGAAGTTCTTAGTCAAAGATATTTTGCAGATATTTTCTTTTAGGCTACGGTCAGTCTGTTTGTTTGTTCTTTTCCCTTAATAATATTTTTTGCTAAGCAGAAAAAGCCCAACTTAAGAGTTTTCAATGGGTTGTGATTTCTGTTATCATCCCAAAGAACGTGAAAGGTTATGAATATTCTCTAAGCTTTTTACATTGTCTTAGTTTTTGCGTTTAAGTTTGTAACTTATTTCAAGTTGGTTTCTGGGTCTAGTGTGAGGCATGATATGAGTTCAGGTTCCTTTTTCTCCAGATGTTTATAAAGTCCATTTTTCTTTAGTCATTAAATTGCTGTGGTACTTCTGCCAAAGTCATTTGGCCTTCTCTGTATTACTCTATTTTCTGGGCACTATGCTCTGTTCCCTCAATTTACTGGTACATCTTTTTGCTGTTATCACACTAGATTATTGCAGCTTTATAGTAAAGCTTGTTATCATGAAGGATTTCGTGTTCCAACTTTGGCTGTTTTAAGACTATTCTGGTTCATCCAGGTTACCAATTTTCCCAAATGTATTTTAAAACCACTTACCAAAAAAGGATGTTGGAAACTTTATTTAGTATTGAAACCAGAGATCACTGCCAAAATTTGACATCTTAACTCAATGTTGAACTTTCAATGAATGGGGTTAATTTTTTTCAGCAATGTTTCATAGTTTTCAGTCTTAAATATCTTTCATGAAATTTATCCATAAGCATTTTATTTTTAAAAAATACAGTGTTGTTAATGTGTACTTTAGAGTCAGAAACAACCCATAGCTGACTCACTGGTGGGTTTTCAGAGGCAGTTAATGACACGGAAGGAGAATGCTCATCCTTCTCCGGTGGAGCAGCTGATGGCTTCGAACCATGTGCCTTTGGGATTGCAGCACAGCTTCTTGCCAAGAGGCCACAGAGCATTCTTGTTTCTTATTACATTGCTAAATCCACTTATCTGTTCTAGCAATGCTTTCGTAGATTCCTTAGTATTTTTTAATAAGTAGCTCTGGTAACACCATGCTGCCAGTGGTTCAAACCTACCAGTTGCTCTACAGAAGGAAGATTGGCAGTTTGCTCCAGAAAAGACTTGGGAACCCAATAGGTGCATTTCTACACTATCTTACAAGAGTAATTATGAGTAGTTAGGGAATTGGGAGCAAAGGTTTGATTTTGGTGTCATTAACAATCATGTCTTCTCTAAGTAAGAATCCAAGGGATTGTAAAATGGTACAACCACTCTGCAAGGCAGTTTGGCAATTCCTCAAAAAGCTGAACAAAGAAATTCCACATGATGCAGTTATTTCACTGCTAGGATTATACCCTGAGGAAATGAGAACTGAGAAACAAAGGGAGATTTATATACAAATATTAATAACAGCATTATTCACCATCACAAGAACATAGAAACAAACCAACAGATCAAATGTCCAACTGCAATCGAATGGGCTGAGAAACTGTGGTACATTCACACTATGGAATATTATGCAGCAATCAGGAACAACAATTTAGAAAATGACTATGTAACTTGCGAGAGACTGGAGAACATTATTCTGAGTGAACAACTCAGTCTCATAGGAGAAATACTGCATAAGACCATTATTGTAGAAATAGAAAGATAACCAGTAAAATTTGTATGAGGATCCAAGAGGAAGGGAGGAGGAGCAGAGGGGTGAGGACAGGCAGAGGGGACATCAGAAGGCTGCACAATTTGAAGGATGGAGGGAGGAGTGGGTAAAGGAAATGAGAAAAGATCTGGTCGGCATTTGGAAAGACATGGCAATGGTGGGCATAGTTCAACGTTGATTAGTTTTCTAAAACATAATGAATAGGAATGAGTGAATGAAACACAATGTATACAAACTTTGCAATCAACCAATATAAAAGAATTTTTTTTTAAAAAAAAAAGGCAATAAAATGCACACCCATGTTTATCGCGGCTTTGTTCACAATAGCAAGGAGTTGGAAACAAACTAAGTGCCCATCAACAAACAAATGGAGTCAGAAGCTGTGGTATATTCACACAATGGAATACTACACTGAATTCAAAAACAAGGAACTCATGAAATATTATTCAAAATGGGTGACCCTGGAGGACATTATGCTGAGTGAAATATCTCAGTCACAAAAGGACAAATACTGCATGGTGCCACTGTTGTAAAATATGACTGACATCAGGGTTGGGGGGAGACTGAGAAAGATGGGATAAATAATGTATACTGCATTGAAACAGATGAGGGAGAAAACTGTTTTAAAGGGATATGTGATTTGGTATTTTTGTCATGACAGGAGTACAGAACGAAGGCTGCATAATGGAATGGACCTGGGGGGAGGGATTGTAAAACAATGAAAGACTTTTTCTTCTACTTTTCAAAGAGAAGAGTGTACTGGGGTGGGGGGGAAGAGTGGGCAGGAAGAAAAGTGCAACAATGGATGAATGAATGGAAATCCAAAGTCTCTGTAAATTTTCATTGAAATGAATAATAAAAAAATCTTTTAAAAAGTTCCTTCTGGAACTGCTAGGAGATGTGAACTACTGGAGACTTATAGTCTCTTAGTCAGAAGTGCAAAAATACTACAGACTACACCAAGACAGCGTTAATTTGTCTTCTCAAAAATACATATACTTGTCTTATCCTTATCACGTTGTATGAAGACCACCAGTGTAATTATGGATAAAGATAATGAATGCAAATGTCTTCGTCTATTCCCAACATTAAGGGAAAATGTTCCACTGTTTCATTTTTAAGTGCTATTAGCTGTAGGCTTTTTTTGTTTGTTCTATTTTATAAAATCAGACTCTTCTACTCTAAGTATGTTGAGAACTTTTTGCAATAAAATGAAGTGTTTTGGCCAATGCGTTTTCTTCATCTACTGAATGGCTGTTATACATTTCTCCTTTAATCTGTTAATACGATGAATCACATTGCCTTGTTTCCAAGAATTAAACAACTTTGAATTCCTCAGATAAGTCTCACTTGGTTATCAAATATTTTCCTCTTTGTACGGTTTGCTGGATTGCATTTGCTAATATTTTGTGAAGGACTTGAATTTACATTCATGAGTGGTATCAGCAGTTTTCCTTTCTTGTAATGCCTTGCTGAGTTTCGGGACTGGGTCATAAGAGCCTACAGGATGAACTGGAAAATGTTCCTCCTCCTATTTTCTGAAAGGGTTTGTGCGGGATTCTAGAATGTCCTCCTTACCTGTTAGGTTATTGGGTTTGGGTTGTTCTTTGTGGAAATTTAGTCATGAATTCATGTGAAGAACATTTATGTGGAGCTTTTAGATTTTGTTATTATTGTGTCTGTCTTGGTAATCTGTGTCTTTCAAGAAATTTTTCTATTGTCTCAGGTGTCAAATTTACAGACATAAAGTTATTCAGAATATTCTCTAATCATCTTCAAAATGTCTGTGGAAGCTGTAGACATGTCCTTTCTTTCATTCTCCACTTTGGCAATTTGTGGTTTTGCTCATTTTACTTGTGTACTCTTCCTAGAGACAACGTAATGTTATTGCTTTCTCAATAGATCACATTCTGGTTTCTTTCTTTCTTTTTTAAAATCCATTTCTTAAATAAACAGAACCTCATAGATAAATGAAAGACGCCAGAAATTCCTTCCCTACATTGACTCTCTTTCTCTTCCTTAGCTATCCACTCTCCTGAGTTCCATGCTTGTCTTTCTTCTATCATTTGAACGGCAAAATCATGTTAATTTCGGCTGTTTTCCTAGGACCCTCTGTTTACTCACCACGTTTCCTGCCTCTGCAGCCAGCCGTGCCGCATAACGAGCAATCAGTCGGTGTTCCTCATCCAGTCGGCTAGGGCTGTCCAGGACACTGTCAAAGAGAGAAAAAGCCAATAGGTATCTATTAAACATCTCCTACTCCTGTTCCGTTCTGAAGAGAGAATGGGGGGTGGGTGTGTGTGTGTGTGTGTGTGTGTGTGTGTGTGTGTGTGTGTGTGTGTGTGTGTGTGTGTGTGTGTGTTTTTTAAAAAAGAATGGGAACAGAAGACATGGAGATCTGGCTGCAGATACCAGTGGGCTTCTCAGTTAAAAGAGAGGGTTAGAATTAAGGCCATACGTGCCATCCCTCTTCAGCAGCACGTCCTCACTGCTTCCACACCAGCACAAAGGTGTTTCTTTTGAATGCAAGCGATAAGAAAAAGTGGGCTACTCAGAAAGTCTGAGACAGGAATTTCTAACTAAATTTTTAGAAAAGTTCATGACTTTTGGACCTTGATCTGAATTCAGAAAGACTTTTAAAGAAACCCAAAAACTAAAACAAAAACTCTAAAGCATCATGAAAAATAAGCAATGGAAGAAAAAGACATATAACATTCGTTGGTCCAAAGTGAAGAACTCTAGCCAAGACAGGCTTAACATAAATAAAAATGGAAAAGTCTCTATGGTATCAAATTCCCCTCCCCATCTCCTCTCCTTTCACAATGCTCATTCTTTAATGACAGCTCCATCTCAGAATGAGTTTACTGTTTTTAACTCAATTATCAGCACTTAAAAACTCTTGGCTGGAATTTAGCAGCTGAAGTAAGTGATATAAAAAATGTAAAAGACTAAGTTGATTATTCATCCAATCTTGTTATAATTAATGGGTTCTAGTTTTCCTAGATTTTGTTTTACCTTTTTCAGTATCACTATACCTATGGACATTTTTTAAACTTTTTTTTTTAAATGGACAGTTCTACAGGGTTAACTTGGTTTTTCCTCCTGGCTGGATTTTTAAAGTGTAGTTGAAGTCTTCTTTCTATAGCATGTGTCAGCATTAAATTTTAATTTTAGGTTGGTAAATGCTTGTCTCTGGCATGTATAACTATCCTCTTGAAAGATGGCCATGGTAACCAGAACATGCAAGCACCAGTTAATTTTAATATCTGAGGGTTAAGTGTCCAAAGTCAGGGTGAAATGATGTAACATTTGTGCTTTAAGGGGATTTATCTGGAATAATAAATTATTTTCTTTTAAAAACATCAACAAAAATGTAGCTTTGTCTGGAAAACAGAAAATTAAGTCTAACATTTAGTAATGTTAGAAAGACAAGTGGGTGATACTATACCAGAGGTGACTGGAAGCCTAAGAACTGTCTCTTTAAAATGATGGCCTCTGCTCTTTGGCCGGGGCTACAGAAAAGTTCCGCTTTCTCTACCACATTGCATCTCCCTCGTTAATCTATTTAATTGGCTAAGCTTTTCAGACAAATTATCACTCTATGTTGATGAGAAGTTTTATGGCCTATGAAAATTATTTAAGGAGGTCTAGAAATGAAAAAACCATGTCTCTGGAAACTATGAACTTTGATAAAAGCTGATAGTTATAGAAAGGCTTTAGGCCTTTTGTTCATAGGGTTGCTTTGAGTCAAGCTTGACTTGACGGCAATCAACAACACAACGGAAACGTTTAGGTTGGAACAACTCCACAAGGAAAAAAGAGATGCTGTACTCACCCAGTGCTTAGCTCTCCAAGGGCTACTAGCCATCAATTCCTGCTCAGGGGGCCTAGTCTCTTAAGACTTCCCAGGTTTCCACGAGACTTGAAGACCTTGGCTAAACGCACCACAAACCTTTTTGGGCTGCAGGTATCAGGTAGCACGTTTCTGGCCAACACCATGCTATTTTTACCACTAAAGATTTTCATCATCCTGGACAACTGCCCTTACCAATTAATTATACACAATCTGCCTGCCAGAGGTGAAGCCACTCTGCTCCTTGAGACCCAGAAGCTGGCTCAGGGTTACCTCTGGATAAGGAGACATGCTCTGTGAGACTACACACAATTAGCATGTCCTCCTATCTTCCCTCCCATAGGATAAGCCTATTAGGCATACTTGGGAGGCAAGAAGAACCCTACAGTTTCTTAAAAGCCTTAGAGATAAGTAAATGTCAAAAAATAATGATGTTCCTTGTTCAAACTGGGAAACAGTATGAAGTGTATTATTAAAACCAGTCCTTCTCACATGTACTTTTTTTCATATGAACTATTAATTTGGTCTTCTGTTATCAAGGGAAATACTAGTGAGGTCAAATGACCCTCCCAAGGAGGAGCCATGGTGTTCCATGGGAAAAACTAAGATCAAAATTTAAGGCTCCAGCCTCTGTTGTGTGTTCAGTTTATTAAATATGGTTTTCTCTTTAAGAATGAGGGTTCTCTGAGCAGAGTTTTACAAGCTGTTTGAAATCATGGCTCTGCTGCTGTGTAGAGAAGATGGATGGCTTTAGATAATGAAAACTTAACCTGTCATCCTTGAAGAATGTGGTGAGTGTGGGAATAGGGTGGATGAGCAGCTCTGGGTCTGCCTGAAAGGAACAGCACTTTGGTGTTGGTGTTATTTCTTATAAAGGATTAACTCTGGTATGAGCACTGGCTACCAAACATTTTCCCATCTGAACTCACCATGGGATCAGCCATGCTCTCATATTAACTCAATGGTTTTCAGATAAACAGGTATGTAGGGTATTTTTATATATAAACATGAGGAGATATATATACACCTTAGAAGAAGCCCTTCATGTGATACTGACATAGTATCACCAAATAAGAATTATTTAAGATGTTAACAATGATAGATTTCTGGAGGCAGATGAGGTCTGGAGTATCAAAGTCTTCAAATTTGACCAAGTGAAATGTTTTTAGGTTGATCAACACTAAACTTTGAATAGCAACTGAAAGTTTTCTTTATTTAGGCAAGAATGAATCCTAAGAGGTTGCACCAAACATTTCTGCAAATGTTACGTCTGCTATTTCAGAAGTCTCAGAGGCTTGTTTGTTCTTTAAGGGTAATCTCAGGAAAGCGACTTCACTTTAAGGGAGAAATTCTGCCTACAAGTAAGTGCCCAAGTTTGGCAAGAATTGTTTCCTTTTAGAAGCTAATGCTTTAAGCAGTTAAACTCGGCCAAATACAGTGGGTAACTACTCAACAAAACACCAAGTGCAGAGCTTTTCCGGCTGGTAGTCTCAGGTGATGGAGCTGTCCCTCCCTCCGACCAACCCTCAGCTGCCCACGTAGTGCACTGCCCTACCACTAACCGTGCACAGTGCTGCAGGCGGGCCACATAGGAAGCTATCAGCGCATGCTCATCCGCCAAGTGACTGGGGATATCCTGGCTATACTGTAACCTGGGAACAATGGAGGCAAAGACAGCAAGCATGACACACACACAGAGGGAGAAATGAACATGGATTAAAAAAGGCAAACATCAAAGGAAAAAATAAATCATGACAAGGCAAACAATTAAAAAACCAAACCATGATGCATAATGGAATCGGGATTAATGGTGTTAAGACCATATAGGAAATAATCTCATCCATCTTTTTAAAAACAGTTTGGGGGATTTCTTTGAATGATGCTAACACTCTTGAGAAGAACGTGATTAGTAAGGAGCCTTGCTCACCACTGCTGTCTGAGTTCTGGGCTCTGTGGTAGATGTATCTTTTTTTTTTTTTTTATGGTGAGAAAAATTTATTACATTTAGAATTAGCCCGCTGGACTCAGTTTAGATGATCCCAATTTTGTTGGCAACATCCAAAGCATCATAATCAGGAGCAAGTCGAACATAGGCCTTCTTCTCTCCATCAGGCCTAATCAAAGTGTTGACCTTAGCCACATCAATGTCATAGAGCCTCTTTACAGCTTGTTTAATTTGGTGCTTATTGGCCTTGACATCCACAATGAACACAAGTGTGTTGTTATCCTCTATCTTCTTCATGGCTGACTCAGTGGTCAGGGGAAATTTGATGATGGCATAGTGGTCAAGCTTGTTTCTCCTGGGAGCGCTCTTCCGGGGGTATTTGGGCTGCCGTCGGAGTCTCAGCATCTTAGGCCGCCGGAACGTGGATGACGTGCGAATCTTCTTTTTTTTTTTTGTCTGTGGACGCCCTTCAGGACTGCCTTCTTGGCCTTCAATGCCTTTGCTTTGGCTTCAGTTTTGGGAGGGGCAGGGGCTTCCTTCTTCGCTTTCGGCACCATCTTCATAGTGGTAGATGTATCTTTTAAGGAATGCTGTCTAGTGAGAAATGAGGTTGACGTGCAGTAGGACTAGTTGATATTACTCTATGCTCCCTGAATGCTAGGCTGTAGGTAGCTTTTGTTCCAAGTTTGAGAGCTGGCATGGTTATCTCTTCTCAGTTAAACGTTCTCATTTCTGTAAAGGGAACCCACCTACAGTATTATCAGTTCATTTCCCCCCCCATAAAGTTGATACTCAGATCAAAACTGTTAGAACTACATTTAATTCTAAGACTGTATTCTCAAAATTCTAAGGACCTCTCTTATACAGGTACATGTAGTTTGAAGCAGACAACAGCCTTTTTTTAACACTCTTTACTACAGATAGCTTAAAACATACAGAGGAATAACATCCTGACTCCTGTTCTTTTACTCATCATCAAACTTGCATAAATCTCAGTATTCTGCCAATCTTCTTTAATGTTCTTTTCTCCCTCAGGAGAGGATGGCCAGAGCGAATCCTAGACAATCTGCTTCATCTAGGACTGTTTCAGCACGTATATCTATCAGACTGTGAAAAATTTTAATGTAACCTCAATGCTTTTATTATGTCTACCAAAACGGACAGAATTTAGTAGCATCATCTGCAAATTTCCTTAAATCCACAGAAATGTCCTCTCACAGTTAAAAACCAAGCAGGCTGTACACACTGCACTTGCTTGCACTTGATCACTGTGTTTCTGTTTTCAAGCTACAGCGATTCTGGGTCCCCCTATTTTCTTTCATTACACAGATGTGTGCAGAAGCCATGCCATTTATCTTGTAGAACATCATACATTCTGGACTTGACTGATTATTCTTTATGCTATCATCTAACTTGTTTCTCTGTCTTAGATCTAGAAGTCTCACTCACTAGGCTAATTTCTTTTTTGTTTTTGTAAAGAACTGGCAAAAATAGATCATACGTAAAATGGCTTCTTGTTATTGTGTGCTGTCAAGTCTAAACCGACACTTAGCTGACCCTCCGGCGGGTTTTCAGAGGCAGTTAATCACACCAGAGGAGTTTGCCCATCCTTCCCCTCAGAGCAGCTGATGGATTCTGAGTGTCTCTGGGATTGCAGCACAGTTTCTACCACGAGGTTACCAGAGTGCACGACTTTATTAAGAGAGCTCAGAAGTGAAGGAAGACTCATCAACAACCTGCACTACGCAGATAACACAACTTTGCCTGCTGACACTGAAGAAGACCTGAAGCATTTGTTGCAGAAGGTCAAGGATTGCAGTCTCCAAAAAGATTGAAGCTCAACATAAAAAAAAAATCCTACAAACCCCCAACAAAGATTCTTACCACTGGGCCTATTGGCAGCATCATGATATAGAAAAGACTGAATGAAGTTATAACAATTTTATCTTGCTTGGCTCCACAATCAATGTTGGCACCAGAAGTCAGGAAATCAAAAGACAAATTGCATTAGTAAAATGTGCTGTCAGGGACCACGCAATAATGCTGAAGAGCAAAGATGTCAGTCTAGAGACTAAGGTGCGCCAGATCCAGGCCACGGTCTTTGCAATTACTTGCTATGCATCAGACAGCTGGACAATGACTAAGGATTAGAGAGCAAGAATTGATGCCTTTGAGTTGTGGTGATGGGGAAGAGTCTCAATCATACCATGGACTGCCAAAAGGTTGGTCCCGGAGACGGTGTAACCAAGTTGCTCTTTGGAGGCAAGGATTTTGAAACTTCACCTCATATACTCTGGGCATTTCACCAGGAGGTACTGGTCTTTGGAGAAAGATACTTTGCTTGGAAGAGTGGGAGGACAATGCAGGAAAGGAAGACCCTGGATGATACTGGGACAATGCAGGCAAGTGTGTCAGAGACAGTGAAAATGGTTCAGGACAGGGCACTCTTCAGAGCTATTGTGCACAGGGTTGCTATGAGTCGCAGGTGACTCAATGGCACATAAGAAGAGTGGTGTAGTCTGTAGGGAGCTGTGTTGCTAACCGAAAGGTCTTGCCTCTCTGGTGGTCTGAAGTTTGAGACTATATTAACTTCCTTACTTTCTGGCACAAGAATTCCTGGTACAATCTTGTCTTTATCGGCCTTCAACCCAGAACCACCATTCTTTCAAGGATTCTGGTTCCATTTACTGGGAAACAGTATTTAGAGATCACGATCAGGGTACTATGGTCTCACTGTTGCTTGCTTCTATACCTTTTTTGGTGAATAATGCTAAGAAATTTGTTAGCCTGTGGTTGTTCTGTGCCATTGAGTTAGAACTGACTTATAACTGACCCTTCACTGTGTTTTCAGAGGTTGTAAACAGCACAGGAGATTGCCCATTTTTTCTCCCATGGAGCCGCTGGGAGCTCTGAACTGAGTGCCTTTGGGTTGGCAGAGCCAACCCAAACTACCCTAACCACTAAACCACCAAGACCGCTTGCTAGTTTAGAAAGCAGACACAAAAGTCAGTTCTTTCAATTTATACAAAATGTCATCCCATTCTCTTCTGACTTGCTTTGTTTTGGTGAGAATTCAGTGGTAATTTTTATTTTTATTTTCTGTACGTCACACTTCCCATCCAAGAGGTGCTCTGAACAATGTTCTCTTTATGGACTCAAAACTTAACTCAAAACTCACAGTTCATTTCATTCGAGTGTCTGAGGCTGTAAATCTTAATGGGAGGAGAATGCCTATTTCTCTCCTGAAGAGCCCTGGGGGATCTGAGCAGCTGGCAAAGCACACCTTCTTGCTTAGCACAACAGCACTACAAGCTGTGCCACCAGAGCGCCTTCAAACCACTTCACTGCAATCTGGTTATCATATGCATTGGTCTGATTTTCTTTGTGTTCAGTTTTTAACTGAGTATCTTTTATTTGTTGTTGCTGTTATTGTTATGTACCATCAAGGTGCTTGTGACTCAAAGTGACCCTATGTACAACAGCCCTATATCCTGCTCTACCCTGTACCAATCTTATTGTCTCTGACACACCTTCCCCCATTACCCCAGTCACTGAGTGAATCCGTCTCATCAAGGGTCTTCCCCTACTGCACTGACCCTCCACCCTCCCAAGCATGACATTCCTCTCCAAGGACTGGTCCTTCCTTGCAACATGTCCAAAGTATGTCAGACGAAGCTTCAAAATCCTTGCCTCCAAGGAGCAGCCTGGTTTAACCCTCTCTAGGATGAACCTGTTTGTTCTGGCAGTCCATGGTATATTCAATACTCTTCTCCAGCACCACAGCTCAAAGGCATCAATTCTCCTTCTAACATCCCTAGTCATTGTCCAGATTTCTGATGCATAGAAAGTAATTTCAAAGACCATGGTCTGTTTTCATGAATTTACAAAAATATTTACAATTTTTGAAGAAAAAAACCCCCTTTTGTTTTTCTCTCTCCCTTCTGTTGGACTGTCTGACCTTACCCTATGTAGGTCACTGAGAGTATGTTACCTTTTCACTTTTTGCTCTGTGCTTTATCTTGCATAGATAGTTTGGACTGCTATGTCTTCAGGCTCTATGAACTTTTCTTTTATAATTTCTGATCTACTATTGAGCAGATCCCTGATTTTTTCATTTCAGGCATTACTTCTATCCATTTTAAAAATTATTTTTGTGTATTTAACAAACTTAACTGAAGTAGAGTACATATGCAGAAAAGTTCTAATTATATTTCAGTAGTTGTCTTTTATAAATTTCTCATTGTATTTTTATGTTCCTTTATTTTCTTTTTTAAAATAAAATTTTCACTTTTAATGGAAGTTTACAGAAAAGTTATATTCTCATTCATTCACTATGGCATGTTGTTACCCCTTCTCCTTTCTTTCCTCGTCCCCAGTTCATTCCCCCCCCCAAAGGACCTTTCTTTAATGGTTACCAGGAAAGGAAGGGAGAAGCATTAACCAGATAGTTTAAAAACAAACAAAAACCTCCACTGTACTTAAACTGATTCAGACTTCTTCTTGTTGTTAGGTGCAGTTGAATTGAGTATGACTCATAGCGACCCTACCCAGTTCATTATTTTAGTTTTTCAAAAAATATTCGCTAATTTTATTTATCATGGCCAATGTAAAGTTGGTGTCTATTGATGACTAACCTTGTTATTTCTGGATCTATTTCTATTGACTACTCTTTATACTGGGTACTGGCTCTACTTTCTTCTATCTTCT